TTTAGAAAATAATTTTAGATTTTCCCTAGATAAAAATCATTTTGCCCGTGACTAAAACGCCATAAAGTCACAGCTAGTTAATGTAGGAGTAGATAATAGTATGTTATGTATCAAGTTTAGTAAACGCCATTTTAGTCACTAATTTTAAGAAGGCGCGAGCGGGCTTGCGAGCTAGTGTTTAATTAAATGAGTGTCTAGAAAAGTTTATAAACCAGCTGCAATCTATACTTTTTCTACGACAAATACTTAATATTATCTAAAAAATAATTTGAATTAAATATTTGTATAGGGCAACATCTATAAAAAATATACTAAACATTCGCGTAAGATTTTTTAACTTGAGAATCTGTATTACCCGCGCGACGGTCAAAATGTGAAATTTGTATATGTAAATTAAAATTTATTTCTTAAAAATGGACTAACAACCTTTTAAATCCGATATAGAAGCATTTTTGCGCAGTAAAAGTTTTATGGGCACTCCACCCGATATTTTAATGCCTAAGAACTAAGAAGTTTAATCTAGCTTACTGCCGGCGAAATCAAAAGGTCAGTACAAACGTGCATATAAACTTTTCAAGTATTGGCTTTGAGAAAGTATTTAATTCTTTTGTATTAAGATAATAAAATAATTTTCACATTTAGTATTATTTCCCAAGGAGGGCACTTTATTTTATCGACTATGACATTTGACAACTGTCCACTAACTTAAAGCTAACTTCAGCTCGTGACTAAAGCTTCATAAAGCCACAACTGGGTATTTAAAGGATCACTTAGTATTATGAGCGTTTTAAAAGTGGGAGTAAAAAATAGTATATTTTTAGTTCCGAGTTTAATTAAGCACGAGCTAAGCATGCGAGCGAGTGTTTACTAAAAACGAGTGTCTAGAGAAGTTTATAAACGAGTTGCATACTATACTTTATCTACGACGAACACGAAACAGAATTTAAAGCAAATTTAATTTTTTTTTAAATTTGACATCTGTCAACTGTTACCCGAATATAACCTCTTTTTTCAAATTTATAATAAAGCTAACTTCAGCCCGTGACTAAAACGTCATTAATTCATAGCTTGTCAATGTAGGAGTAAGTAAAATATTAGTATTTTTAAATATTTAGAAAATTTAAATATTTTTTCTTACTTCATTATTACAGAATACCATAAATCTTATAGTTTTAATTTGCCTTTTAGGTCTTCTGCAAGATGGAAGGAGTTAGTTATGTACGTTTTTAGGGAAAATTTTTTATTGGCACCCTGAATATAATTAAATTAATACATGGTATTACCAAAGATTAAATATACTATATATTTAATCTTTGGTATTACTGCCGAATCGGTAGTACCGATTATAAATATTAATCTAAAAAATGGTCTTATAATTTAAGTTATTTATTAATATTTTATTTTCCTTTATTAATATTTTATTTTCCTTTAAAACTTCAATAAAAATGCTTTATTTTTATTGATACCAACACTAATTAATTATTTTAAGTAAAACAAGTAAAAAATAAATTGCTCCTTAGTATTTTAAGATAGAATGCAGTATAAAACTTGTTTTTAAGGAAATTTTCAAACAAAGTATTATAACAATAATAATTAAATTACCCATACTTAATTATCGCATCGTAAGTTAAAGCGGGGCATTGTGTAAACAATAAATTACGTGTGTGTTGCCGATAGGATTTTTTACGTCTCAGGTGCACCGTCCGCGAATGCAAGGACAACAGACACACATGTAATTTGATTGTTGCTATTCGAGTCGGTGATTCATTGCCATCTAATTAGTTTTCCTTCGAACAATAAAGAAAAAATGCTGTTTGTATCGATAACCAGCAACAATAGACAAGATCGTATTAAAACAGGTTGATCAGGGAAAACGATATCTCGGCCTACGCTACATTGGTAATAGTTTTGATGATGATGGTCAATAAATGTTAAACGGTTTCTAAGAATGACATCATTTAAAATGCTTAAAATTAATGTGCTAGTGTTCCATTTTGAGCAATAACTAAAAAAACGATTTTATTTTAGTCAACAACAAACAAAAATTAAGTTTTTAAGAAAGATTATTTTTTAATACTCCCGTGTTATGACGTCAGTGCGCCACTTCCGGGACACCTTGTACAATAATATCCAAGTTGGCATATAGCCTCGATATTTTAATGAAATAAAGCTAATCTTATTAGTTTACCCTTGCTTTATAAACTGAATTACTGTTAGGTAACCATTATGAAGAATTACATTTGTAATAATAGTATATTATGTAGGTATTAAGTTTGATAAACGCCATTTTATTCATGAATCTAATTTAGGCACGAGCAAGCTTGCGAGCGAGTGCTTAATTAAATGAGTGTCTAGAAAAGTTTAAAAACGAGTTGCATACTATACTTTTTCTACGACAAATAGTTATTATTATGTAAAAATGACTTAAATTAAAAATTTAAAATCTATAAAACTCGCGTAACAATTTCTAACTAATCTGTATTATCGACGCGCCAGTCAAAATGTCAAATTTGTATGTGTAAATCGAAATGTATCCCTTCAAAATGGAATAACAACCGTTTAAATGATGATATAGAAGCAGTTTTTTACAGTGAAAGTAAAGAGAATGTTTTATGAGCACCTCACTCCACCCGAAATTTTTAATGCTTTCAGTTAAATCTAGTTTACTGCCGGCAAAATCAAAAGGTCATTATGTTTCCAAAAAATAGCATAGAAAAATAATTTAATAATAATAATAATTGCTACTTGCAAGTAGCAAAATTTAACTTTTTGTTCATTTTTGGACTTTAACCTTATAGTAGCGTAATTGTAGTAACATGAATTTAATTACAATGCCATTTGAGAAAAGAGTTTTTTGTTGTTTATTTAATTACTGAAGTTTTTTTGGTTCAAATGAAATTTCTCAGTGTGATGTCGCTATTTTCTTAAGTTGACGATACCGTTTCTGTTATTGTGTTATTTCATATAACAAAAATTAAACAGATCCAACCCATTAAAACTTATTTTTAATACCATTTTTAAACTTTTACCTTATATTATTATTTTAACTTATAGAATAGATTTCGTTTATTTTTATTGTAGTATTTTTATGATGGCAGTTTATTAGAAAAAGTTCGTCTTCTGTTTTTTGTTTCGGAATGTGATTTTCTTATGAGGAACCAAATATATTTAAAAATCTCTGATGCTATAAATGGATTCTGAGGGACATAATATGGACATGTATCAAATAAATAAAAGATATATGACCAAAAATGCAAGAAAAACTTAAAAGCCCAAAAGTAAACAAAAAGTTGAATTTTGCTACATACCTATACATAAACAGTTATAACTTAAGTACTTATCCATAGTTTTTGATCATATCACAATCCACACAATGTGTGGATTGTGTATTATATATAATATATATATAAATCATCGACATATATGTCGATGATTTTTATTTACTTTTCAAAAGTGACTTTTGGCGAAGGTAAATGTTGCATTTTTATTTTTGTCCGATTTTTTTTTAATATTCGAGCCCATTGTACTACTTAATAAAAGTAGGATAATACACCACTCAAAGAAATTAGCGGAATTTTTTATTTAATGACCGATCAAAATTTTTCTTCTTCTTCTTCTTATTCATTAACCATTCCTCTTCAAACAGCAAATAAAACATTTAATCTAAATCTACTCAATTCTCATAAACAAAACAAATGTAAAAAGAGTCACAAAATCAAAGAGTAGTGATTAATTCTATAGAATTATAATATATTATTAGGAAAAACCACTTGCGCTGAGCATATCGAATATCAGTAACGCGTGTGGCCTCCATTAGCAACGTTGAGGTATACTTTGAATGAGATTCTTTAGGTAGATTAAGCTATTCTTCCAGAAGAGCCTCTGACAGTTGCTGAAGAGTAATAGGGCGCTTTCTAACACGTCTGTGCCACGACTTATCAGTGAATAACACTGAATTTTATAAACTGTAGTCAACCAATGTTCTTGCACAGGTCTACATGCCCTCAAACCAGCTTCCTCTAGTCGATTTCTAACTGTGTGGTCAGAAATCTCCAACCCTGTGGCATTTCTAAGATGGTTTTGAAGCTCTCTGACAGTGACAGTGCGTTGGCAAAGGGAAGTTGTAACTATATATCCGTCAAATTGTAGCGTAGCGCTTAGAACGCTTTAACCAAAGCAACAGCTCTCGCTACTTCATTTTCACCAGGAATATTTACATCAAAAACTGCCGTTTACTTCTTCCATCTATAGGCTACTTGAAACCTATTTTCATGAAATTTTTTACATTTATTCTTGTAGATGATGAGAATTGAGTATATTTAGAATCATATTTTGTTTGCTATTTGAATGTTTAATGAATAGATCCCCATAAGAAAAATTTTGATCGGTCATTTATTAAAAAAAAATAGGATCGTTCAAAAACCCGTTCCGCTTATTTATCAGTTTATGGTCTTTTTAAGCCTTTTAGAGTTTTTATATTTTAATCTTGCTTTGTTTCCGAGATACAAAATATTAGAATTTAAATTTTTAAAAGAGTAGTACCTATGTATATATCATAAACTAAGGGGACATTCATTAATTAGGTGAGGCGTTTTTATGATAATTTGGACCCCAACCTCACCCTTGGTGAGATGTGGTAGACCCCCCCTATCCCTCACGTGAAATTTTAGCCATTTAACTCTCTTTACGGACAACATGTAAAAAAAATAATTATTTTTTTTGTAACAAGTTTGAATTATAATACATACTTTTTAAACTTAAAAGTTGACGTGAGTTTTTTAATGGGCCCCCCTCCATTAAAATGAGATTTGGTGAGATTTTGCTGGACCCCTTCCCCCCATTTTTGCCTCACGTAATTAATAGATGTCCCCAAAGCAAGTTACCCAACACGCTATATAAATATCTATTTATTAAATGTTTTTTTAAATATTTCAAAATGTTGGTTGTATATATATAACATAAAAATAGCTCAAAAACCTATTTAAATATTTTTAACTGTACTATACTATTTCCTTGTTTTAGGAACAAATAAAGAACAAATCTAAAACAAAATGTAAGTACCAAGAAACACTTAAAACACACAATCCCATCCCTGTATATTTTATGTGTTTACATACCTTATGCTTAAAGACTAGTGGTGATACTGCACTACGTAGATGTTTGCTTTAAAATTTCAAAAAGTTAGTTTCTTCTTGTTTCTGTTTCTTTCTTGTTTCGATTATTGCGTTTCTTAAATTCTTGAAAGTGATATCTGCAACAAAATAAAAATTTGTGTTAGTTACAGTTAGATAAAAAAATTGCGCTCTTTTAAATTGTGACATCATTTCATGTGACACTATAATTTCTGCTCTACGCGGTTCGACGACCTCGCAGATTCCGTTTGTTTTATTCATTTAATTTGAGAAGCTTTAAAAATTTAAAAAATAGATATTATTGAATTTTCCTCAAACTTACCAATAATTATACTATGTTTTATATTATATAATATTATATTGCATTAGGACAACTGCTTATTAACTATACATGTTTAGAATTTTAAGTGGCTTTATAGATTTGTGCTGAGATTTCCACTAACAAAATTATGAAAAGGTGAAACACAACAATCAAAAACTATTTTTATTTTAAATTACCTTACATAACATATAAATAGGTTTTTCCACTTATAAAACAGTTTAAAACTTTTGCAGTGATACGAGCACTTAATCCATGAAAATTATGTTTACTACTAACAAGCAGTGCGTACAAATATTTAAAAGAAAGAGAATCGCGCATTAAGTTTATCACAAATCGAAAATGCGTGTGCGAAACATTTTTGTTTATAAACAAACTTAAGGTAGTTGTCGTGCTATAAGCATACCATCAGAAAATTTTAAATTTTTGTATACTTATTAAGGACATGACAATACATATATCCTTAAAATTTGAAGTCGATTGACCGTCTATAACCCGAGATAAATTCAATTAAAAATTGGATAATTAACATGGATTGTATAGGCTTTCTGAAGTTCTGTACCAGTTTCTTAGTTATACAGAAAAAACTAACTGTCAGAAGTTTTCAAAAAACTAACAGTGTTTTAATGTATTTTTGCTGAGTTTAAAAAAAAATAATTAAAAATTTTTGACCGTCCCATTGTTTATAAATACCTGTTTAAAGTTCAACAATTTGTAAAAAGTATACATCACTAGTGTCAGATAAAAACAACTTGGCAACGCTGTACGCGAGTATAGATATTATTTCCGCAGTAAATTTAAACGGACTGATTCAGTCTCCAATATATCTATTGGTTGAGCATAAGCGACGTTGCCGGATTAAAACTTAGGAAAATATTTAAAAGTATTACGTAAAGGTAATGTCTCCAGGGTACAGTCTTGCGAACAAATTATGAATCACTTAGCTACAAGCTCGTATACTTTTACGGTGCGTATAATCTAAAAATTTTTGACAATATTGTACCACGACAACTACCTTAATTATTAATGTTACGGGAATCCGAGAAACGCAGTTTGTTTCCCTACGCAGAATCCTTCGGTCTATTCTTGTTTTCGTGAACATGTTATATTTATTACGTCATACATTTTCTATTACGACACATAATTTAATTTTGCACTATTGGGTATTGGCAATAAAAATAATAATCGATAAATATTCAAAACTTGTCGTTAATTTAAAATTTTAATTTTTAATAAAAGTTGTGATTAATTTTACTGCGTAGAAAGCTTTGTGTGCTAAACAAAATTTAATCTGTGTTTATTTTGATTTACTTATTTACATAAAAAATTAATAAAATACGAGTGCTAGACACATATTAGGTTTTATTAGTTATCTTTCGTAAATCACAAATTTAAATTTGATGTTTGTTTTCTTTATCTGCCTAAATTATTTGTTTTGCAAATTTCTATGGCATATTTTTAAAAACACAAACTTTCCAAAATCCAATACTAGATTTTGATTTTTGTTGTTACCCAATTAGAAAAGGTTATTAATCTATGGGGAACTTTACACATTTGATACTAATTAGTAAAATATTTAGTAGTCAATATGTCAAAAACAAGGCTGGTCAATTTTTTTTTGCAAAAATCGTTTGGGGCTTATGAAAAGCCTCATCCTTCTCCTCCTCCGTGGCATTGGAAATTAATTTATCAAAATGCTGTTTTTTTAAATTTCTTTTCGTTTAGAATGTTTTGTTTTCTTTGGCATTGTTTATTATAATTCTGACAATTTTTACGAAAGAAAATTACTTATAAGTGTATTTCACCTAAAGGAAAATTTAACGGTAATTTTAACGTCAGAAGTTTTACTTAATGGTAAATTTTACTCATAAGTCATAATTTTACGATATTAAGACCACTTTATAACCGTAAATAATTCCTATTCGCCTGGTATTTTTAGGGTTATTAGTGGGTAATAAATACTAATAATATTGACTAAACAAGGAAAAATAAGCTTAAAGTCAAAAATAAAACTTTGCCGGAATTTTTTTGTAGGCCGCCATAATGAGTTTTTTAAGATGGCATCCATTACTTATCTAAACATTTATATAATATTTTTTCATGAATATCTTTCTAAAATATAATAGGAAAAGTTTTAGTTATTAAAAAATGATTAAAACTAAATGATTTTTAAAAGATTTTATAAAATTTTGTAGGTTTTAAGTTTTGTTGAATTTTTACCCAAGCAATAATTTTTCTTAAAACCGTAAAATATTTAGAGGGCATATAATTTTTAAGACGTATCATACCTATTTTTATCAATAAAATAATGTGCGTTTGAGTTTGAATGCAAAATATCAATGGTTTTGACAATTTAAGTTATATTTTTTAATTTTACTCTAGGGTGGCCTTTATTACTTTGTAATTACTTAAGTACCTACCATTTTGTAAAATATAAATTAAAAGAACAAAGAAATTACGAATATCAATGTTTAAGAAAGAGAGCAAACAGTTAGTAATTATAGGGTTATTTTTACGTAAATTTGTGGTATTTATATTGTTTTTATTACGTAATTCTCTTAGTAGATCAAAAAGGTGGGTAAAATAACGAAATAAACCATTCCCCAAATTTGGTAATTTTTCGTATCTATACCGTTATAAACCCGTTTTGGTTAACCGTAAAAAATACTACTACTACTAGTTGACTTAGTAGTAAATTTGTAGTTATTTAAACGTAAAATGCTGCTTGGGACATATTAGGTATATTTGTTATATAATGGATATGTGTTAATGATTACTAAAAAGAGATTAATAAGGATAATAAATAGATAGAGTCAAAATTTTTAATATTATTGACTGTAAATGGTTCAGAAAAGTATGTAGATATATGGAAAACCATAAATAAGGATACCTACTAAAATGCCTTGGACAGTAGCATTGTAAAAATGTTCTATTGAACTGTGATACAGTGTAATATTCAATAAATAAACAAATGAAGCGAGAAATTTGCACGAGCAATTGTAAAAATTATTGCAGTCATGTTTTGCATGAAGAAAAATAACGTGTAAACCACGGCGGTATAGTGATTTTTCCAGGCTTCAATAATTTTCCACGCTCGCTAAAGCTCACCTACATTATACTATAGGTTATGCCTATAGTCCCGAGCCGGGAATTAAGTTTGATTCCGACTGACGTCATAATTTGACGTCACACACTGTGAATCGGTATAATAAAGAATAATTCTTTCCCGAGCCGTATAAAATTGATAAAATCAATTTTAATAATATTTTAATAATATTATTAGGCTGGGTAGCTCAGATGGTAGGGCGCTTGCTTAGCATGCTAGAGGTATCGGGTTCGATACTTAACGCCTCTTTAACTTTTTTATTTTTATTTTATGAATTTACTTTGCGAAATAATGTAGCCATAAAAAGGATTAATATTTAATTTTATATTATTTACGCGTCCTCATCATTATTTTGCTAGGGTAATATAATATAAAAACCTATGTAATTAAGTGAATTTTCCTTTGTTAAAAAGTTGGATTGGTTATTTGGCTTGTTTTAGTTTTATAGTAAAATTATGACGTCAGACAGGATTGAACTTATGTCCTGCAGACTGTAGATAAAGCGTTTACTATAAACACCTATAGTATGTTTAATAAAAAAAATTGAATTGAGCCGAGATTTTTTTTCAAGCGTATAACAATTTTTTTGGGTGACGTTCATAATATCGAAATTCACTTTATCGAATTCAAAATATCGAACACTTTTTATCGAAAATCAAAATATCGAAAATACAAAATGTCGAAAATCAAAATATCGAAAATTAAAATGTCGAAAATGATAATATCGAAATTTTATTTAATCGAATTTTCAATTTATCGAAAATAAAATATCGACGTTCATAATATCGAAATTCACTTTATCGAATTCAAAATATCGAACACTTTTTATCGAAAATCAAAATATCGAAAATACAAAATGTCGAAAATTAAAATGTCGAAAATACAAAATTATACAAATATTATTTTAATCCGAAGTGTATATGTACAGAGGCGCCTCTGATATAGAAATGTACTCAAACTCAACAACACAACCCAACCGACCCCGCCCCATTGGCCCCCCCCGCCCCATTGAGCAAAAAACCCAACTAAAATGGGCTAATTTATGTAATTAAAAAGTGTTTTATTTTTATCGTAACATGAATTTGCCCATTTTAGTTGGGTTTTTTGCTCAATGGGGCGGGGGGGGGGCCAATGGGGCGGGGTCGGTTGGGTTGTGTTGTTGAGTTTGAGTACATTTCTATAAAACGCGCATCTCTAGGAGCCAGGGAGCCAAGATAATTCGGTGCATAACCGTAACTTTATCTACAGAGGCGCCTCTGTACATATACACTTCGATTTTAATCATACATTTTAATTTTCGATATTTTTAAATCGATATTTTAATTTTCGAAATTTTAATTATTCGACATTTTCAAATCGACATTTTAATTTTCGATATTATCATTTTCGACATTTTAATTTTCGAAATTTTAATTATTCGACATTTTCAAATCGACATTTTAATTTTCGATATTATCATTTTCGACATTTTAATTTTCGATATTTTGATTTTCGAC